GATGCTTTTTATAATTTCTACCGATGGTTATAGAGTTCATGGTTCTTTGAAATAATTCTTCACGTAATCAATAAATAAGTTACTGTTTTAGAACTGACTTCTACGTCCACAAGAACTTTGAAATAACCAATTACACATGTATACCAAAATTTGTATAAGTAATTGAATTAGAGTGCGTAGGTGCTAGTGCTTTAATTCATTTGTCTTGTCACTTATGTATAACAAACATTAATTTACATGGTTGTTATCTTTCGTTAATATGCCCTATGCCCTTTGCGTTATTGAGGTAATTTATTAGCTTTAATTGATTTTATGTGCCGCTTCAGGACTGCTACAGTGATTGAAGCTGCATCTCTCTCATCATTTTATCTTGTGTGATCTATTGCTATTCGACTACACCCATCGCCCCTCTGGCGTCCCTCATGGATCAATTTTTAGTCCAACATTTTTTCTAACCTATACTAGTATTAACAATATATGGAATCATTGTCAAATAGCCAGACTAATGTACACATTTCTAATAAGAAAAGAATATGCTAAAATGTTAATCACCTCTGCTTAATATAAAGTATTCAATCACTTAATAGATATAGAGTGAAAAAATTGATATCCTCCTAGTAAATAAATGTTAATTGATAAAATTTGTCTAATTCTCAATGCTTCGGACTTGCTACTCATTTGGAGTTTTAAAACTGACATTATTCAAATAAATAAAAAGGTAAAAATCAGCACCGCGTACTTTTAACTTACCTTAAACTTGAATATGTTTGAAGACACTAAACCTTATTCATGAAAGACTATGGTTTACATTTGGTTAGGCTCATTGAATTTGTCTATGCTCTAATTAAACGTAGATACGCAAAAAAGATCCTCTGTATTATAGATATTCATAATTATTAATTAAAAAATAAAAGATTGGAGAGGTTTGTGTACAGTCTCATGAACGGTCAACAAATTGACTTTCTTTTGTAAGTTTTGTGTACCGATCCCAATCAAAGACCTATCGAATGTTATGGACATAAACTAGGCTGGTCACTTGGTACCCGAAGGTGGTGCCCGCGCCATTGAGGGCAGGCGCTAGGAGGGGTCCGGATGTCTTAATAACAGCAGTTCCCGGATCCCTTCTATTACAGGCGCAGAGTTTCACAAAGTGTGGATTTAGTCGGTCCGATTCCGACACACCACCCCGCCTTAAACCTCCGTGGTTTGGGGGGGTTTCCTATGGATAGTCAATCATTATCAGACTGCCCTGGCTAGGATTGCTAAACTTTACTTTAAGCTAACCATGAACCCTTCCAGTGTTTAATTTGCTACCTACTAGCTACTAATTTTTAAAAAAAGGTAACAAAAATGAATTGAATAAAACAGACACTTAAAAAGTCTGAAACTTACCACACCTGCACAGAAGTTTCCTCCATGAACATGAGAAGACCAAGGTAGCCAATACTGATGGCGATGTTTATCCAAATCACAACTCTGTTTGACAGATACATACCCATTACATAATAATATGATAATAACATACGACGGGCCTGTTGGTCAAGTGGTTAGTGACCCTGACTGCTAAGCCGGAGGTCGTGGGTTCGATTCCCACCCAGGACAAATATTGTGTGATGAGAACGATCATTTGCTCTGTGTCTGGGTGTAATTTATTTATATTATGTATGTATTTAGAAATATATAAGTATGTTTACCAGCAGTTTGATTACCATAGTACAGGTTCTGCCTAGTTTGGGATCAGACGGCCGTGTGTGAGATGTGTGAAATTATTATTAAACCCGTACAGTATAGGAACATTGAAACTGGAATTAAAAAAAAGTTGAGTGTACGAATAATTTATTATTTTGTGTTAGAGATGATGATGGTTTTTATCAAAATCACTGCTGTATGGTAGAAGCTTGTATATTCAGGATAGTAATATAATAATAATATTTTTTAGGACATCTAACACACAGCGCCATCTCGTTTTAAGCTGAGCAGTGCTTGTAACATGAAAGCTAGATTGATTGATAGAATACTTACATACTTTTTTGTAAATACATACAAAGAAAACACCCAAACTACGAGACAAATATTTGCATATCATACAATCATTTGATCTTACCTGGGAATCGAACCTGAGACCTCAGCACAGCAGTCGCATACGCTACCACTTAGCCTTTCGTGCCTTACAAGAGACGGCGCAGACGCTGCGCAAAAGCTAGTGTGCAGGGGCTCTAACAACCAGATCGAAAGACCCAACAACGAGATTCATCATCATCATCAACAGCCTTGAATAGTCCACTGCTGGACATAAGCCTCTCCCTAGAAAGGAGGTTTTGGCCTACTGTACCACGCTGGCCAGACGCTTTAGTATAGGGTTCGTGTCAAGTTTTCCTTCTCTCTGCAGTGCTGTTGTTCTGCGTAGTTTTTTTCCCTTAGTCGGCTCTTACGACACCCACGGGATGAATAGGGGTGGTGACACTCTGTGTTCTTAATCCGTCACCACACCACGAGATTGAATATTGCAAAAAAGCTAATACGTGTTTCAAACACTTTGTTTACATAACAAAAACCATATCTAATAATATAAACTCTCTTTATCTTAGAAATCCTAAAGATAATAAAAGATTTTAAGTTAATCTAAACATATCTCTTATCTGGCTTCGTCTATACACCTACATAGGTTTAATTTGAGTAGGACTTAACTTTGAAATATTTACTTTTAATTTGCTCGTGTTCTATATTAAGATTTATATTACATAGTATAATATATGTATTGTGATTAGTGTCTAAACAAACTTGGTAAAACACATATCGTGTGCGTAAATGTCATAAGATTATCAACTTCAACTTTTGGTTAATGGCTTTGTGGTAGAGTGTAACCACAATTTCGCCAATGTCAAGTATTTGAAAGACAAACTGTCAAAGGATTTAATGTAGAGCTGTGGTAGAGCCAAAAAAAAATTTTAAGAATGAAAGAATAAGAATGAATAATTTGTTATCTTTTACAGGCTAGATAAAATTTAAACTAGTAAAATATATATACACATACAAAATAAGAAATAACTAGAAAAACAAAAAAATATATAACACTGTGATATTGAAACTATAATTTAATTTTGTTTAAAGTTATACACTTACCTACGAGTAGAATGTATACAAAAGAAGTAAAAACGCGAGATAAGAGTAATTTAAGGGACGTGGGCTGAGGAATATGAGGAGGAATGAATTCATAAATAGGAAACTTAGTTCTAGGACAATTAAAAAATATATGGTTAGCGTTTCCCTCATCAAGCCCACACTCACAAATAGAGCTATCCCTAATTCTGAGTTTTGCTAAAAATACTGGTCATAAGATTATATTGATTGTACACCAGCTGTACGGTCGCGGTCCAGTAACACTTTTACAAAGTTATAGCTTGATTACTAGTTGGAGTTATAATCTTCTTCTATTAACATATATCACACACACATACACACGCTACGTGAGTATGATTATAGTAACTAATTTCAACCAATCAATAACTGTCCGTCTGGCGCTGTTGTGGACGCTCTTTTTTTAATGTGTGGAAATCACCTCTAACCTTCACCCCACCGGGATTTTGGGTTGGGCGATGTATCGGAGTCAAACCGACTAAAACAATACGGTGTGCCACTCTCTTAAATAGGAGGGATCCAAAAAAGCTTTTTTTAAGCCATCCGGACCCGTCCTAGCTCCTCGTGCTAAGAGCCTTAATTAACCTAAATACTAGGATTAGGAATGAATTAACGTCAGTGGTTTACTAGACCAGCATCAAACCCGTCCTCAATCTATACTAATATTATAAAGATGAAGAGTTTGTTGTATGTTTGGTTGAATCACACACACACTCATCTCAGGAACTAAAGGTTCGAATCGAACAATTATTTTAGTGCTAAATAATCGACTTATCGAGAAAGTATAGTATAGGCTATATAACATTACACTGTGGCTTACACGACTGGACGGATGGCCTTACTAGCTAATACAGGTAGTTTCAAAGTGTCCGCTTCCATAACTTCGCTTGCTTCGCAAATTTCGCTTCTCGGTCCCGCTTATCAGCAGTATTTTCAAGCTGGGGTTGTTTCGCAAATTAATTCAAATAACAGTTTAATTCTGTCGTAAACAGTGTGCACTTATAGGTATACACATAGCTTATAGTTGTATCGTTTATTGCTTTATTTTAAATGCATAAATATTATAATAAAATCCTACTATAACTGGGTTTGTTAATAACATTCAATACAGTTTTGATCCTGATTAACATACTAAATCAATAAATAGAATATCATAACGTATTAAAACACAATCAAACTCGAAAATGCACTAAGAACAAACTAACTAACTAAGAACAAACAAAATTCAACTATTCATAAAATATTTTTACATTGAGATATACATTGAGATTCTTAATACTAAATAACATACTAATAATGGTATTTATAATCATATGTTTATACAAAAATAAAAAAAGACGAATTTATAAACAACCAGCTACGCTACGCCAGTACCGCGCTACGCCATATTGTGATTGCAAAGAATATATAAAAACATCTCTGAAGCGTGTTGTATACCTTGTAATCTGTGTGGTTTTTTTTTAATTTTTGAAGCGTACATAAACCAACTTAACATTTATATATTTATAGATAGATAGACATAAAAGGCACTACGAGCCATACCATTTTTCTTAACACATCTGATACACAATCAGGCTGATCCCAAACTATGCAGTCTCTGCTATGGTAACCAGACTGCAGAAAAACATACTGATATATTTGTAAACACTTACATATTATAGATAAATTACCCCATAATACAGAACAAATGATCGTGCTCATCACAAAATTATTTGTCCTGATTGGGAATTGAACCCGCGACTTCTGTCTCAGGTCACTAACCACTAGGTCAACAGGGTCATCTACTACTATTTTTTTTCTTCATAAGCCTTTTTTGAGCAGTCTTAACGTGGTAAAAACTAATAGTCATAACATTAAAAAGTTTAAACAATAACACTTTGCCTAGGATTTTTTAGAAACAGGTTTTGAATAGCAGCAACAGATAATCCTCTAGTCTCTGGCTGATAGAAGAAAGAGTAGATAGCACCCAAAAGGCCGACGGCAGTAAATCCGTAGAACAGTGGTGTGAAGCCGTATTCTTCAACAAAAGGTATAAAGATGCATAATGCGATGAAATTCATTAACCAACCTGCTGTCAAGATAAGGCTACTGCACAATCCTCTTACCTGTAAAATGATTGTAAAGTTAACCTTTTATTTATTTATTTACAACTTTATGCACAAGTGTACAGCGCGGACTTAATGATTTGGGCATTCTCTACCAGCCAACCTTTGGGTGGTGTATAAATACCATGTTATGTGCATGTTAATGCACCTCACCAGAGGTGCACTAACGTAACAGTTGTAATAGTAGCATAGATATAGTTTCAACTAACATATACAATTATACATATACATAAATATGTACAAATACTTTATATTCGTACACTGTAAAGAGGGAGGTGTACTATTGAGTAGGTAATTCCGCCACCTCAAGAAGGTAAGTACATATTATATCAGTATAAGCATACGGAGTGTTAAAACCCCTATTTATCCCGTGGGTTTCGTAAGAGCCGACTAAGGCAGCAAACTACGCATAACAACAACACTGCAAAGAGAAGGTAAACTTAAAACAAACCCTATACAAACCCGTCTGGTCAAAATCTCTTTTTTAAAGACAGGCCTATCTTTTAATGGATATTCATACGTACCTGAGGCAAGAACAACTCTCCAATCAATATATAGGGCACAACGGAGACTCCTAAATTAAAAATAAAGTTGTAAAAATATATCATGAGTGCGGTGAACCAGTCTGGAGCCCATTCATACTGTGTCTGAATTGCCAATACCAGAGTGCAGACCGAAGAGCCGATACACGTTAAAGTCATCTGCAGCTGAAAAAATAAATACACCAGTTAACAAGTCACAATCAGGACCAATTTTGAAGTTGTGTTTAATAATTATTTGAAAAAATCAACAACCAACCAAGAATATTTTGTTATTAATAATGGACACTTTAATTTAATTTATTAGTATGGATTGCATTAAACTACTTACTTTTCTGCCTAACCACTCTGTTATAAACGAGGACAATAAACAAGCGACAAAGAAAACTACAGCCAGCCATACAGTGCACTTGGATGAGTCCAAAGATGGCACAGTCACAGCGAACAAGGTTTCTGCGTATATTTGTAGTTGAATATTCCCCATAAAGGTCATGGTACCCAGGGCAGCCAAACAGGTGATGAGGGCGCGTCGGGTAGACTGAGATTTTTCTGTTAAAAAGAAATCACATTTTCAGATAAATTTATCTTAGGCCTACCAGTTGGACGAAAAGCAATGAAAGTAGAATTAAAAGAACCCTACTTCAGTTGAAGGTTTCCAGGAGCGACAGAAGTCACTTACCATCAGGTGTCCCGTCTGCTCATTTGCCCCCTATCAATATTGTGGTGACTTCCAGAGAAACAAAAACATACTTCACCGCCATCTAACGAAGAAACACTGAACTGCGGAGTAACTGCTAATCCTCTATCACGATATAAATAATGCCGATTAGCATATATACAACTTTCCAACATAAACCGTTGGGTCAGAGGATCCTCCCTTTGTGTTGGAGGGACAAGACACCCGTTCCTCCATAAATAATAATAATAATAATAATAATAATATTGTACCACATTCACACAACGCCATCTAGTCCCAAACTAAGCAGAGCTTGTACTATGGGTACTAGATAACTGATATAAATACATATATACTTTTTTTTTTTGTAAATACATACTTATTATACATAGAAACACCCAGACCAAATCAAACATTAAATGTTCATGCACACAAATGTTTGACTTGAGCAGGAATCGAACCCGCGTCCTTTGGAATAGCAGTCCGTTACACAAACCACTACGCCATTCGGTCGTCAAATACCATAAAAAACTTACTTAAAAACTTAAATTCTGAAAAAACATTTACATCTGAGGTTGGCAGCAATTCCAATGTTTCAGTAGACTCTGAAACAAAACAACATACCTATATTACGTAATTATAAAAATGAACATAAAAACCTTGAAATATGATTCTCCTTAATTCTAAATTTTAATGTGTAAAAACTATATTTCAATTGCTGCGTCAAGAAGCTTTGTGCCACACAGTTTGCCACCAATTTTGCGATTGTCATATACTGTTCTTTGAAGAGAGGTAACGGTCTCGAGAATACCGTCGGTGTTCTTAAACTCTCAAAAAATCTCACTCCGTCAGATAGTTTTTTCACCTGATATTACTTGTTTTCCTAGGGGAACAGAGATACTCATACTTTAGATATAAGTGCAAACTTACTTGAATAGTTAATCGAAGCAATAAAAGACATTACTTACTGCCAATAACAGTTACAAAATAAAAATTAGCGGAACTATAAAATTGTTTAATTAAAAATCACTAATTATTTTACACACCTTCGTTTTCTTCAATTAAAATGTTTGGCCTATGACGAAGCTGTAACCTAATTTTGGCAATCTCGACCTCAACTTGTTTCGATGAAGGAGTCGTCTGTTTATAAAAAGCGATTGATTCAGCAGCTTCCTGGGAAACAAAGTAAATAGTAGGAATAATATACAATATTATAATGAAGCTCTCAATTTATTTTCAAAAAAGAAATTAAATTTTCTTTCGTGTCGTTCAAAAATATTGGTAGAGCTTAATTTGACTGACGATCTGAGGAAGGAGGCTGGAGTGGACTGGAGGCAGAAGGCGGAGAACCGTGTACTATAGCGCATATTGGGAGAGACCTATGTCAAGCAGGGGACTGATGTGAGTTAAGTGATCGATTGATTGATCAGGCACTGGACTATCAAAAAACTCACATTTTAAAATAACTTTGAATAGTAAAAAAAAGTGATAATTTTTCTCTTTAGTCAAAATTTTGAATCGTTTTTTTTAAATTATTGTTTTTATATAGAAATACCATGATTTATAGTTTAATTTGATTTTGATATCAAGTAGTCGGGTGTTCAAATCACTTTTCGCTCACTGAAAAATTGTATACTTACAAACATTTTTTTTTTCAAAGACCACTCCCGCATTAGTAATATATCCTATGTCTGGGGGTCCTTACAAACATACATGAAACGGACACAAAGAACACCCAGACTCAGAACAACAATTTGTGGATCAGACAAAGGGTCTTCCTATGTGGGGTTTGAACTCACAACACTTGGCGTAGTAGGAAGCGGTGCTGGCGTGGCGACCGCTTAAACCACTACGCGATCCATGCAGTCGCACGCATACGCTTCCGTACATTACTAATACATATATTCCATGTTATAGCACATTTAAATTCTAAGTATATTAGCAGTACTATTTATATTTATGATCAAGGGACTTATGCAGAAGACAACTTCAATACCGACTGCATAGAGAAAAGATTCCTGTCTTTGGAGTCCTAAACCCCGACGCCATGGGCCGTGTACACGTTGTTACTAGCATACTTTTTAAATCAAGACGTTGTTTGTGGTAAACTTACCTTCACCATTCCATTTTGAAGCAAATAAACTGGTGATTCTTTTAAGAAGCACACTGCCACAGCATATAGTAGCGTGATGATTAACTCAACGTGTATCATCTGGGAGTACGATAAGAAACCTTCTAGAGTATAAGAGATCAAAACGCCGAGGTAATAGACAGAAACGGCTGATGATATCACAGCTCCACGGATAGAATCCTGGGCAAATTCAGCAATGTATATTCTGCAGGCTGCTTGTCCTGCTGTACCGCAGCCAGCTATGGCCATGGCGATGATCACCCAGGGAACTGAATTCGTGATGGATAATATTGTCCACGCAATCTAAAATAAGATAAGGGAGTTTTAGGTGTTAAATATTCATTCGGTTTAAAAAATATTATTACTTTTAGTACACTCACATCAATCACACATCAACAGCCTATGATAGTCCACTGCTGGACATAGGCCTCTCCTCTGAAACGAGGTATTGGCCTACTATACCACGCTGGTCAGACGGGTTGGTATAGAGTTTGTATCAAGTTTTCCTTCTCTTTGCAGTGCTGTTGTCTTGCGCAGTTTTCTCCCTTAGTCGACTTTTACGACACCCACGGAATGAAAAGAGGTGGTGACATAACGTATTCTTAATCCGTCACCACACGTATAGTTTAGTACACTATTTCTTTTAAATTATTTTACCTTTATCAAACTTTTCTTAAGCCATGTTTTCAGTTCAGTAGCTCAATACTGTTATGATGCGAAACTATTGTGAATATTGGTCATTTGAAACAAAATGATCCTATTTAATATACTTTGCCGTATACCACAAAGTTACAAAATCTTATTTTTTACCAAAATAATTTCAGACAGATTGTAAATATTGTCTAAAGTCTCGTAATCGTCAAAAAATTACATGTGTGTCTTTATCTACATACCATATAACGAAATACTGAAAGTGTACATAGTTTACTCGTAAGTACTGCATTAATTATATTAGAATTATTGTTAATAGAATATTATTTTGATTGGCCATATATAAAATACACACATATATAAAAAAGAAATATAAATTAGTTTTTTTTTATGTTAGAGGGGACAGATGAGCAGAATCAGGGAAGAGGGAGTGTTTGGGCTCCGCTAACGTTACTAACTCGGTGAAAAACAGTGAACGAATTGCTAGTTTAGTTTAGAATCTAATAAACGTTGTATAAGTAGGACAAAACCTCCTCTCTAAAGAGAGGTCTATGTCCAGCAGTGGACTGTTAAAGGTTGTGGATGAAACGCTGAAGAGATATATTCTTCGACGCACAGTGCTCGTCCAACATCTTTACATATTGCTACTGATTGTGTTATTTTTATTTTAAACATTAACGCATTCTACAACCGAAAACCTAATAGTGTGCATACGTGTGTACGTTCGTGTATCTATGTAGAGGTAACAGTATGTACATAAAAAATTAAAGAAACAAAATTATGAAGAAAATTCATTTTTATATAAATTGTGTATTTCACACTCGAATATCTTTATTTCATAAATTGGTTAAAATTATTTGAAATTGTCTCTTGTGTAGGCTCTAAAGTCATAGATCAACACACACATAATTATGCAACTTAACACGGATGAAGGGCAGAGCTGTGACGAAATACGCGTGTGATACTGCGGGAAACTTCTCGTATATATTGTGCCCCTCGTGCCTCAGAGAGCACGTTAATCCTACAGTCCCGGTTGCCATAAAACATCTTTGACAATCGTTACGGGTAGTTGGAGCCCTCAAATGTCTGAGTACTTCGGTTCAAATCTTTTTTTTTTATGGTATAAGGGGGCAAACGAGTAGATGAGTAAGCAACTACCGCCCATGGACACCTGCAACTCAAAAGTCACAAGAGCGTTGCTGCCCTTGGAGTCCCTCCCACTCGAGTCAGCGGAAGGGACTGAAATCAAATAAATAACTCATTCTCACACACCAAATCGAAGTTCAGCCGTATTATAGTAGACTACAAACCGAGCCTTTGGAGAGTTTGGGCAATATGGCTCGGAGGAAGAAGAAGAAGAAGAAATAGAGATAATATACTCACTATAAAAGGCAGAGCAATGAGCATAGATGTATTCTTCCGTCCAAATTTATTTATTGCCAAACCACAAGCAGGCGCCAGGAGTAACGCCCCAATATTTGTTAAACCTCCCAGCAATGAAACATCGACTGAAGTCATAGGTTTGGACAAAACGGTTTCTTTGGATACAAAATTTGGTATGTTATAGAATGGCCAGTAGAACAGCATACCCGTTAAGCATTCCACGAAACATACTGAAACAGTTTAATAGACAGATATTTAATTTGTTATTTGACGATCTTCACTTCGGTTAACACTTCACACGTAACACACTTCACTTCACACATAAGAAAAAGTTTGATTTTGAATGTTGTCGGTTAAGATTTAGTATAAATACAGCTTTGAGTATTGCTTTTCGGCATCACTGCACGAATGGCGTAGTGGTTTATGCGGTCACCGCACCGTTTCCTACTGCGCTGAGTGTTCTTTGTGTCCGTTTCATAAATGTCTGTAAAGTCCGCCGTGAGACAAGATACATTCTTAGTGCGATAGAAGTCTTTATAAAAATATTCTAGTAATAGATTCATATATATTATATTTTATGGGCCTGTTGGTCTAGTGGTTAGTGACTCTGACTGCTAAGCCGGAGGTCGTGGGTTCAATTCCCACCCAGGACAAATATTTGTGTAATGAGCACGTCATTTGTTTTCTGTCTGGGTGACATTTATCTATGATATGTATGCATTTAAAAATATATAAGTATGTTTATCAGCAGTCTGGTTACCATAGCACAGACTCTGCCTGGTTTGGGATCAGACGGCTGTGTGTGAGAAGTATACTATTATTATTATTTAAAACATCGTTACATAGATGATAATGCAATCACTTCAATGCAATATTAATGAGTATCAAGTAAAAACTTATCAAAAGACATTTTATAGTAATAACAATAATATTTTAGGACATGTTTGTCATACAGAGACAAGAGAGATTAATTTAATTTTCTTTTTAAATGACTTTATGAGACAAACTAGCTTTTTGTGTATATGTCGGTAAAATGTTGTTGCTTGTTTTACTCGCTGAAGAATTATTAGAACCGGTTTATTGGTTTAGTTGTGAAAGCGTAACAAACAAATAAACAAACTCACTCTCATAACAGAAGCATGGATGTACCGAACTATGTGGCTACAGCATTTAATTCCAAAATCTAACATTTTCCTACTCTCACTCAAGAGTCTTATGGCCATTTACAACAGGCTATAAATATCCTGGGAAAACCATCAGTATAAACCAAATCTTAAACAAATAACCTCATGATATCTTAAGCCGTCTATGAATTTTTATTAACACGAAAAAACCCAGCTGTAAATTTTATGTGAAGAATAAACTGGAAAAGTGCCTCTAACTAGCCCACCAAAGGTTCCATATAAACTTATAACTGTAGATATTTCGTCAATTCATTCGTCAATTTCGATTGGCTTTCGTCGTTAAGCTCATCGAAGATTAATAAATCGTCCGATCTCAAGAAACAAATCGAAGATTAGTGTCCATTTTTTCCAAGTATGTCTCCTCAAAGTACTTTCCACGACATCCATACTTACCAACATACACGCCTTCGGAGTATATCATCATCAGTATCAACAGCCTTTAATAGTCCACTGCTGGACATAGGCCTCTCCTTAGAAAGGAGGTTTTGGCCTACTATACCACGCTGGCCAGACTTGTTGGTATAGGGTTTGTGTCCAGTTTTCCTTCTTTTTGCAGTGCTGGTGTCCTGCGTTGTTTTGCGCCCTTAGTCGACTCTTACGACACCCACGGGTATGAATTGGGGTAGTGACATTCCGTATTCTAATCCGTCACTACACGGAAATTCGGAGTATAATATACAACAAAATCAATCAATCACTTTTCTAAAATATTATACGCCTAGCTTTTGCCCGCGGCTCTGCCCACGTGTATATTATTTATCGCGGTAAAAAGTAGCCTATGTTACTTCCTTACTTTTAAAATCAGTTTAGTTGTGTAGCCGTGAAAACATACAAACATTGTAAGTTAAAATGAAAGCTTTTAAAATCGAAAAGAGTGGATAGGCTTAATAGGGCAAGTCTCGGATCAAAAACGGGACTTATTCCAGCGCGGAGGTATTGCAGTGTGTCCCGTTTTTGATTCGACTTCCCTCATGTCTGGTGACTTGTGACTTAAAGGGTGGTATAATCGTATGACCATCCTGTGAGTGGTGAAAAAATTAGTGTAATAACATTATCTGGCTATTGCACTTTACTATACGAATATAGTTTTAAAGTATAACTAATACAGGTAATCAACATTTTATATCTTGAGACCAATTTCTCTGAAAATGCGAGGTTAATTCGTAATTTATTTGTAATGCAAAACCAGTCAGTTTGTTAATTATTTGCAAAACCAAACCACCCAGAAGAAATAATTGTGTGAGGAATACGAGCATTTGTTCTGTGTCTGGGTATTATTTATCTATAACTAACTTTTGTCCACAGCTCCACCCGCATGTAGTTGGTTATCGTGGTTAAAAGTATCCTATGTCCTTTATCAGAAATCAAACTATTTCCATACCAAATTTCATCTGAATTGGTACAGTGGTTATTGATTCCTCATAAAAACTTCCACCCCCCTTTTCACCGCCTTAAAGGATGATTTCTGAAATAAAACTATAGGTTCCAGGTTCTTTCTCGGGACTTAAACTATCTCTACACCAAATTTCATTTAAATCGGTTCAGTAGTTTAAGCGTGAAGGGATAACAGACAGGCACACGTTCGCATTTATAATGTTAGTATGGATATGTATGTATTTAGAAATATATAAGTATGTTTATCAGCAGTCTGGTTATCATAGCACAGGCCCTGGTACAAGCTTTGCCTAGTTTGGAATCAGACTGCCGTGTGTAAGATGTGGGAAGTTATTATGTGACTACACGGTTGGCGTAGTCACTACTACGCTGAGTGTTGTGGGTCCGATTCATGGGACGACACTTTGTGTGATCCACAAATTGTTGTTCTGAGTCTGGGTGATTTTGTGTCCGTTTCACGAATGTTTGTAGTCTCCTGCGACACAGGATATATTCCTAATGCGGGAGTTGTCTTTAATATATATATATAAATGTATATTATTATTAAAAATACTAACTTAAAAATGCGGCCAAGACTTGGACGGTGGCTCCTCTAAACGTCACTTTGTCACTATCCATCTTGGGCAGATAACAAACTTACACTGAACATAAAAAAATATACAGATAAGAATTTGGTATCTTTGACGTCAGTAATAATTACTACCCTGTATTTTTTTATGATTAGAGCTGACAGCTAAAAGTTATACATATGATAATCATAGTTAGGTTTATTTTTGACTGTTGCGGCGCTTGCGGTAATTTCTTTCAACCTTCGGTAGCAGTACTTTTTCTAGATCAAAAGTACGTTTTTATCACTTCTGGGTTCGTGTCAAAGTGTGCAGATGATCACTTAAGTAGTAAAAGTGATGAAATGTTATAAACAAACTCTATCGCATTTATATTATTAGTAAGAATATTTTTATTTTTAATTTAACGTAGTGTAGGACGCCCACAGGCTAAGTGGAGTGACAATTTGCGCAAGATGGCTGACATAAGCTGGATGCGAGACGCCCAAAATCGATCTAAGTGGCGTGCAATGGGAGAGGCCTATGTCCAGCAATAGACTGCGATAGGCTGATGATGATGATGATGATTTATTTATCTCTTTATTGTACACTGCTGATATTAGGATGTCCGGTCCCCTCCTAGCGCCTGCCCGTAACGGCGCGGGCACCACCTTTTCTATTTAGGCGACGACCGCGTGTGCCGGACGTCGCCTCCTCGCAGCTGGCCTTACCGTCCACCCGTGGTAACACTCAGAGCGGCACGAGGCGCTGGTAAGCGCGCCTCTGCTGCTCGGCTCCGAATGGAGATCATCCTACCGGGCCCTCTTCGCTGCCGTCTTCTGCGAAATGATGTCTTTGCAGTAGGACCGCGGTAAAACAACTAAACAACTGTGTAGCGAGAGATCCTCTCCAATGACTGCAATGAGGACCCAACGCTGAAACACCCAAGCCGGGCAAATTACCATCGTGTGCTGAGCCAAGTCCTCACTGCAATCGCAGTGGTGATAGGCTTAATTCCCTCCTAGCGACCGAGTGCAGATACTTCCCGAAGAAGCGACGCCCGGAAAGGACCTGCGTCAGACGAAAGAAAAGGGTCCTCATCTCACGAATTTTACAATGGAGTGGCATGCAAGCCTTGAACCGACTAAAATCACACATTGTTCTGTCACGTATAATAATAATAAGAAACTGCATAAAACTGTTAAAACTGATGAAAATTTAGGATTTTATCAGTTGTGCTTATATCAAACAACTTTCTATGCCTACATATTCTAATCTTTTTTATGGGATTAATCACTTCCACACACTCACTACTGTAATTCGTGTACACCAGTATCAACAACAGTGACCTACGACACATCCAGTTATACCACTTGGGAAATCAAAGGAAAAGCTAAATTGTCTTGGATCAGAAGGCAATGGGAAAAATTAAAAATTTAAAAATCCCCTTCCCTCGTTATCAAAGCGGGAGACTAAAATTAAGTTAAAATAGGCATACACCCTAATAAATAAGGAAACATAACAGCCACAAAATATTATAGGTACTAATTGAGCTATATTTGATTTCTATAATATGTATGGCAGAACCGCTCAAAGGCACGAAAATTCACACTAGTTGACATAAGATCCTTATAGTAGAGGATTTGGTGCGGAGATCTAAGCTGTAAGGTATTCAGCATTATACGTTCATTGTACCAAAGACTACATTCCTAGAGGACAGTTCACAGTTAGAGCCAGATGTAGCCCAATGGTAGCTCAACTAATAAAAATCAATGCAGTTTGCTCTTAAACTTATCATGACAGGTGAGAAATTGAGCGCCACAATGAGCCAAGCCATGTCATCGATAACCGATGGCGAATCGAATGGCGATCTCATGCACCTAAAAAATCACATTCTATTTTTATCTAGTGCTGAATTTTACATGGCTGCATCTGTTTGCACCTCGAGATGGACCGGAACCACATCTGCCAACACCGGTAAAGCCTCAGTGCTAACTGTCTTTTTTTTTACGCGGGGAATGCTTTTCGTACCATCTCTCGAAGCTCCCTTCCTTTGGGCTTCCCGAGAAATTGTGTAATTGGGTCACCAGCTTCCTTGCGGACAGAAGAATTAAGTTCATCGATCGGATCGACGGTGCATGCTCCGATTTGAAATTCGTAAATGCTGGTGTCCCACAAGACTGTGTGCTATCACCCACACTGTTTCTTCTGCATATCAATGACATGTTGCAAACTAGTAGCATCCATTGATATGCAGATGATGGCACAGGAGATGCCCTTTATACCAGCCACCCCAATATTTCTCGGGAAAACGTCATCGAGAGTCAAAACAAACTTGTGTCTGAAATTGAAACTTCCTTAGCGGAGGTGTCAGATAAGGTGATCAGACTAAATCTAGTCCAGTTTAACCAAAAAAAGACACAGGTATGTGCGTTCACCGCAAAAAAGATACCATTTGTCGTATCACCTCAGTTTGAGAGCACCTCCCTAACTGCCTCAGCCAGCATCGGAATCCTGGGCATCGACATATCGAGCGAAGTCGTATTTCGGGGTCACTTAGAGGGTAAGGTCAAATTAGCCCCGAAGAAGCTTAGTGTCCTGAACAGATCGAGTCAGTATTTCACTCCGGCCCACCGCCTTCAGCTCTATAAGGCGCAAGTCCGGCCGCATATAATACTGTTCTCATCTCTGTGCAGGGGCACCTCAGTACCAGCTTCTCTCTCTGGATCGCATTCAACTAAGAGCGACTCGAATCGTCGATAGCCCAAACATCTCCGATCGGCTCTATATTTTTAAACACTACTTAAGGTATTCGAGTTGTAAAATTAAAACACAATAGGTACTTTTCAATTTCTTTTATTTTTATTTATTCATGTATTCATGTTTTACTTACTGAGTATTATATTAGAGAATAAATATGAAAATGTGCACGTAATTTATACAAATTCTAAAATTACTTCATCATCATCATCATCAACAGCCTTTAATAGTCCACTGCTGGACATAAGCCTCTACTTAGAAAGAAGGTTTTGGCCTACTATACCACGCTGGCCAGACGGGTTGGTATAGGGTTTGTGTCAAGTTTTCCTTCTCTCTGCAGTGTTGTTGTTCTGCGTAGTTTTTTCCCTTAGTTGACTCTTACAACAGCCACGGGATGAATAGGGGTGGTGACAATCTGTATTCTTAATCCGTCACCACGCGGAAGTTACTTCAGTTTACTTCAATTTACACATGAACACAAAAAAGTCTAACCAACCTTACAATACCCTTATTCACAATGTCCCAAATGATGGCTTCTGGAAAGTGTTATTCACTTAACACTAAGTTAAACTATTTCTTTACGATAAAGGTGTATATAATACATCTATCTCAAAATTGTTAACTTAAACTCTACCCGGCAATTGACACATATTTATCTACAATTACTTCTATATCACAATCAGACACTTTTGTGTTTTCCAAAAATTGTTTGACACTAATAAGACAGCTTGCTCATACTTTTACGAAGCTCTTGAGATGTGGAAAATTTTGAAGTTTATTTCTTGCTTAAATTTGATTATTTTTAAATCTTGTGTAATATAAAAAAAGCATGCATGTAATTATGGCGAAATTCATTATTCAAATTTGAAAGAATATGAGGTTTACCTCATCATGCTTGGCAAACTATGCATAAATATGCATATTGAGCATATATATATTATGTGTATTGATATATTATACAGTTTGCCTATTTCATTACGAATTTTAAGTAAAATGAACCTACTGACCGTTTTCTCTGCATCACCCAATGGTTGACTGGTAGAGAACGCCTTAGGCATTAAGTCAAATCAAATGTGCATAATGTGTAAAATAAAAATAAAATAAAATAATTTTCCTGCTGCCCGTGCTGATTAAGGGCTGCAAGGTAGGTGCGTCTTCAGTACAGTGCGACAACATCAGAAGCCGACATAACAGGATTTCTAATCATAAACCTCAATTAATTTTTATCTAAGATTCGATTTTCTGCCTATTTTTCTTTAGAAACAGCATTTGGATAGCTTCCACAGATAGCCCTTTGGTTTCGGGTAAATAAAACAAAGCGAAGAGGGCACCTGCGAAGCCTACTATACTGAATCCGTAAAAGAGAGGAGCAAAGCCGTAATTTTCCATAACCAGGGTTATAATAAGAGTGGAAACGAAATTCAAACCAAACCCAGTTGACACAGTAAAACTGCAGCAGAAGGACCGCACCTGGAAAATGATAAAATAAATTTTCAAGATCCTTGGCATGCCTTTTTATATGGTATTAAGGAGGCAAACGATCACACGGATCACCTGATGGTTAGTGATTAAAACCAGCCCACGGATATCTGCACCTCAAGAGTCATAAGTGAGTTGCCGCCCTTTCAGTTCCTCCCCCGAAATCAGGGACAGGTAGTGGGGTGGTTTGGTTTACGGTAACCTCACTCATTCGGAGAAAAGCAATGAAAGAACTGCTTAACATCGGTTTTCAGTGAGGTTATGTTATTTCACCGATCATCATCAATAGCCTTTACTAGCCCACTACTGGACATAGGCCTCTCCTTAGAAAAAAGGTTTTGGTCTACTATACTGCTCTTGTGTGCTCTTGTCCTGCGTAGTGTGCTCCCCTATTCGGCTCTTACAACACCCTTTATTCTTAATCCGTCACCACACGGATAAGCTCACCGATCGAGCTTACCCCATATTGGCCTAAGCATGGATTTCCATTGGGAATTATAAAGCTTATTAAAAGTCACATTACTTACTTCGGGTAAAAAAAACTCTCCTATCAACACATAAGGTATCACTGCTATTCCCATGTTAAAGAGGAAATTATACAGATATAACATAAACATAGTGAACCATTCCGGAGCCCACTGAAACTGAATCAATGTTCCCAATATTACTGTACAAACTGAGGCGCCTGCGCATGTGAAGATTGTTATCACCTGAAAAAGAGAAAAGAAGACTAAAGAAAAATAACATAATCCAACATTATCGTATATCCATACCTATATTATAAACTAGCTTTTGCCCGTGACTCCGGTCGCGTGTATGTCGGTTATCACGGTAAAAGCAGTACATGATAATGGCTTTCAATGGGCGAAAGAATTTTTGAAATTGAATTTGTTTAAAACAAACTCACTTTCACATCCAGACTTCTTTAATAAAAAATATTTGAAAATACAACAATTACATCAACATCAAAAAAAACCACAACTTTAAAATAACCAAAATGAACAGATTTAAGAATTTAATTTACTTAAGTTTAATAGCATGACCAACTACTCGTGTTCTTTTTTATGCACCGTATGTTTCTATGTAGAAGAATTGCACATAGACAAAATTTTGAAATAATGTTAGCCAAATAGACGGCAATAGGCTGATGACGAATAAAGAAAGAAAAAGAAGAAATGAAGAATGAAGAACAAAATTTAAAAACGGCCACATAAAGCAACAGGAGTCAGGTTTATGTTTATTTTATTTATACGTCATAGTAATAAATTTTAAACACATAGATCTAAACACGGGTTAAAATCAAGTATTTACTACAGCATTAGCAATCATTTTACGTAAGAGACAATCGAAAGAACCAAATACTCACTTTTCTACCAAGTCGATCAATAATTAATGAGCACATCACAGTAGCAGCAACGAAATCAACAGCCAGCCATACAGAGCACTTGTTGGCATCAGAAGAAGGAACTGCTTCTCGGAAAAGACTTTCAGCATAGACCTGCAGTGGCATGTTACCCATAAGCACCATGATAGCCATCACAATTAAAGATATAATGAAAGCCCGTGTGGATGATGGTGACTGTTCTGAAAAGATCAAAAGAATAATATACAGGATTTTGTTATTCGGAAAACCGTAGCGTCTTGCCTTTACACTTGAGGCCTAGAAGTGCCTCATTTTCGTACTCGTCGGTACTCGGGTAGCAAATTGGTCGCTTGCTCGTTTGACTTCCTATCAAACATTTGCCTGCTGGGCACAAACAATATTTTAAAGATAAATGTAATCCTTAAAAAAAAAGAAACATCAAGTTGAAATATAAATATATATCGGAAGCGGTTGGCCTAGTGGCCTATACAAGACTACTCGGTACTTTAGGAGAGAAAAAAATTGAGATGTAAAGAGAATATTTCTTAAACCAGACTAGATTTGTAGGTGACAAATAGTTCTTTTCATGCATTTCATTCCTATCTCTATTTTATTAAATCAGTGGATAGTAGGTCTAAATAAAGTTTACTTAAACGATTTTATCTACTTACTTAAGAATTGCCATTCTGATAGATTCTTCCGCTTTGGAGTGTCCAATAATTCTTTGGTCACAGTAGGATCTGGAAAAATATAACTTCTGTTAAAAGATTACCAAACAGAATTTAATTTCACCTAGTATAGATTATGCATTAATCGTCTAGTATACTAACGAATTATGTACTTTAATGCTTTAACGCCTTAATGACTCATTGCAATTACGTAAAGTTAAATTCAAATCATGAAAAGAAAATAGCTTTGCATTATTTAAATTAAAATGAGGTATTCATTAGTCTCGTGCTTGATTCTTGCAGCTTCCGTTCTGTCCTCTTCTATCTTATATATAATAAGAATTAGGCAATAAATAATTAAACACAGACCTCCCCCTTCGTCAACTGCTTTAGCCGGTGTTGAATCCAGTTGTGATTTAATATTATACAATTCCATCTTAACCTGATTCGATGTCGGGCTTGTCTGTCTGTAGAAGGCGAGGGACTCCGCTGCTTCCTACACATTAAAATAACTTCCATCATGGACATGGTAAGTCGTAACTTACTGTAGTTATGATTACTTAATTTTCCATCTCTAGAGCTGGTATTTTTACTAGAAATTTAAATAGGACCAAATAGAAGTAGAACCCTCATAAATATATATCTATAAATAATGGAGTTCTGGGGTAAAAAACAATTAAAAATTCAACATAATTGAGAATCTATTCTTTTTTTTACAATTGGTTAATAAAGTAATAAAAGAATAATGTGATCTCAAATGCCAAACAAGTAACTTCCATACATTACTTAAAATCGATTGGTATAAATCCCACAGTATTTTGAAAAATATGTTAAATGAAGAATATTTTTTTACATAATATTTTCGAACACCTACACAACGTCATCCAGTTCCAAAATAAGCAGAGCTTGTTCTATGAAAGCTAGATTGAGTGATAGAATACTTATATACTTTTTTTTTTGTAAACACATACATATTATACATAGAAAACACCCAAACTCCGAAACAAATATTAGCATATCATACAAACATTTGGTCGAACCCGGGAATCGAACCCGAGATCAGCATAGCAGTCGCATACGCTACCACTACACCGCCAAGGCAGTAAATTGTGCGACTGTAAAGTTTTTTTAAGATATTCCTGAACACTCACCTTCTCTCTTCCTTTTTGGAGCAAATAAACTGGAGAATCTTTCAATAGTGACAACATCACAATATTTAAAACAGCTAATGTCAACTGCATGTAAATTATCTGGAAGTATGACAAATACCCTCCAACAGCATATGACACCAGAACACCAAGGAAATAGATGATAAGAATGGATGAAGTCAGAGCTCCGCGGATTGAAACATGAGCTATTTCGGAGACAAAAATTGTACCGGCAGCTTGACCAGCTGTACCACAGCCGCCTATTGCCATGGCGACTATAACCCCGACAACTGATTTATTAATATATATTATTGACCAGCCTATCTGTAATCAAAAGAAGCTTACATTTAGAAAGATAGAAAATAGAATATTTTCACTTGAAGTAATAAGGAAAGTCTGTAAGGAGTACAAGGAAAGCGTAAAGCATTTATTTTTTTTCGAAGTGTTTTCTTACGAGTATTTTAAGAAAACATTTTGGACTTGCTATAAAAACTTCCAATGCAATTTTTGACAATTACGAGTTATTTAAACCTATTTCTTGACAAATCATCAATATTATCTAACTTTCTGTTTCTTGAACCTTTTTTTTTATAATAATGTTTCGGACATCTGACGCACAACGCCCTCTAGTTCCAAACTAAGCAAAGCTTGTACCACGAAACCACCATTAATATATATATTATCGAGAGAAATAATTATTATGTTATAAAATTATTAACAATTAGTATCAAAATATAAAGTTTACACGAAAATTAAGAATTTTACTTTATTTAATAGTTTTTATATTTTATGACTTTAATAGATATCACTTACTACAAAAGGCAGGCCAGTGCATATCATTGTGTACTTCCGACCAATCTTATTCATCACCCAACCAACCAACGGCGTCAAAAAAAAGGTTCCTATATTCAATACGCTTCCAAGTAGAGAAATTTGGACAGAGTCCATAGGTTCTGCCAGAACTGTCTCGTTGGAGACAAAATTGGCGACATTGTACGACGGCCAAGAGTACAGTAATCCAGATAAAGCTGCTAGGAAGGCAACTGGAAAGAAGATATCACGTAATCAGTAATATAAAAATAATCACTATTTCAGAGACACAGCGAATTATCAAAAGTTGGTTGGTTAGTTACATGTTTTTTTAACATTAAATATTTTATTTAAGTAAAATATGAACAGTTATTTTAAAAATGTCTTTTAAAGTTAAATGTAAAACATTTCATAACATGACAAATAAATATTTATTGCATATAAGCTTTTGCATTCGAATTTGTACGTGCAGAAGTATTTTTCCATCTTTAGGACACATACGAGTACATGTACATTGTTGGTAACGTTTTAAATATTAAACATATTTCTTTCAAAGTTGAAAATGTCCTTTAAATTTATTTTATAAATCACACTACTATTGTGTAATATCTTTTACAATATAAGTAAGACAATCTTTAAAAATTGAAACCCAGAAACAACGGTTTTATTTATGAAAGTATTGGGCCTACGATTGATCCTTGTGGTACACTGCTGCATCGGGTCGCTTAGTTTACCGTTCAACCATATTTTATTAGATAGATGAGTTTACCAATTGCCTTTTAAAAATCTCTAAATTTAGTAAGCAGTATTCAATAGTTAATATATTATTAGCTTATTTAATACTTCAAGGATCAATAATTGTGGGTCCTACGGTAAAAAGAACAACGATGTGTAAGTTTCTTTATTACATAATTACTTAAACCCCTAATCTGAGAATAATCTTGTTAATTTGTGATTATTAAAAAATACTTAGATTATTTATACAATATTGTGTGACAGTGTCAACAATTACAATTGAAGACTTAAATTTTTATGTTTAACAACTTTGATACTCTAGCAAATTCTCACGTGCTAATCTTAAACTTCTTGGTCGTGTTTGTTGTGTATTTAATTTTAATGTTTTAATTAAAGAACTGCATACTAACTTGAAAATGTTGCTATAATTTGTACCGCGACCGCTCTAAATGTCACTTTGTCACTATCCATCGTGTCTGGGTCACGCACATCAACTGAAGATCACACTCTAGTTCCAACCGACACATCCGTAAATAAAATTTATAAATCTTTTGCAAATACATTCATAATTCCTAATCGTTAGTTGATAAGAAGGTAAAGCATGTTAAGACGTTTGCTTACAGTTTTATTATTATATTATAACTGTGTCTTGCCTCAACCACTCGTGTCTCATAGAGGATGTGCTTTGCTGCTTTGGGGGTCGCTGGTTTGATTGCCGGTATCGATTTGCATTGATCTTGGTGTATTTTTTATGATATAAAGGGTAAACGCGTAGATGATACACCTGATGTTAGCGACTATCGCAGCCCATTTACACCCATAACTCAAGTGTCACTAGGGCTTTGCTGCTCTTTCAGTCACTCTCCCCAGAATCGGCAGGTGGGATGGCAACGTACTTGTGACTCTTGATTTGTAGGTGTCCATGGGTGGCGGCAGTCACTCTTCATCTAGTGACCTGTCTGCTCGTTTGGCCCTATACATCGTCAGCCTATTGCCGTCCACTGTTGAACGAAAGCCTCTAGAAGCGCCAACCATCCCGGTGTTGGGCAATTCACATCCATCCGCTGCCAGCCATTTTCACCAAGTCGTCGATTTATCATGCCGCAGACCACCCTGCACTACGTTTGCCTAATTGAAGTGAACAAAAAAAATTAAAATCGTCATGAGAGTTGCTCTCTTTACTCGATAGTTACTAATACCAATAGACAATACCAAGAAGGACAGGAAAACTATTAACTTTGGTTAAGTTTGTTTTTTAGTCCAGCCCTCTGTCTAACGACAATGAATAATATTCAATTAAACAGTGTGTTTAATTTAACGCTAAAGAATCGCATCAGTGTTTCTTTTGATGGAAATTTAAGAGTTGTCCATAAAGTTTATAAGCTGATAAGAGATATCATAAATATATGCGTAATCTTACATACACTTGCTTTGTGTCACTTACAATTATGACATAATTATTTAGTGCTTTTTCTTTTACATTTGACATAGTAAAAACTATTTACGTAGTGACTGGGTAATCGACTCCATTAGGCTGGTTACATACAAGTGAAATATATCTATTTTTTTTGATGTCGAATTCTGAAGTTTTAACAGACTTTGCCAGTCTTTTCCAAGCCCTTACTTTCTTTTATTGGCATCTTGATTGGTGGTAAAAAGCTTATTGTAAAAATCTTATTTAAAATCTGCAACGGAATTATAACCAGCTGGTTTTGATTCCGTTGTAGATTTTTATAACAATAATAATTTATCTTTCAAAACAAAGTACTAAGATATATGTACACACAAGCACTCACAAACACTACAAAAAAAATAGAAAAGTGCCTGTACTTGGTTTTCCAAACTTTTTTTTTTTTTTTTTTTTTTTTTTTTTTTTTTTTTTTTTTTAACGTGTGGAAATCCCCTCGGACCGTCACCCCACCGGGGTTTGCGGCGGGGTGGTGTGTCGGACTCGAATCGACTAAAACCACACGGTGTGCCCTCTTTGCGCTTCCAGTTTAGGAGGGGTCCAGGTAGTTATCGCCTTCTGGACCCCTCCTAGCGCCGGCCCGCTCCTATTGCGGGCCCCGTCTCAAGATTTTCCTCTCTTTAGGCGACGTCCGGCACACGCGGACGCCGCCCCCTCGCGGCTGGCCAACTAATGCGGGTGGAGGGGAAACCCACCCCGTCCACCCACGGCCACACTCAGGGCGGCATGAGGCGCAGGTAAGCGCGCCTCCGCCGCCCGGTTCGCCGGCGGCGGATCAGGTCCGAGTGGAGGTCGTCCTCCCGGGCCTTCTCCGCCGCCTCCTTCTGCGGGATTACCTCCTCGCAGAAGGTTGCGACCGCGGTAAAACAACTGTCGCTACCGGCCATGGAGCGAATTACGGCCGGTAGCGAGAGATCTGCTCCGATGACTGCAGTGAGGGCCCGGCGCTGCGTCGCCCATGCGGGGCAGACCGCCAGCGTGTGCTGGGCCGAGTCCTCACTGCAGTCGCAGTGGTGGCAGGCGGGACTCAGTTCCCTCCTAGCGACCGAGTGCAGGTACTTTCCGAAGCAACCGTGCCCGGAAAGCACCTGCGTCAGCCGGAAGGAAAGGGCCCCGTGCTGCCGCCCTGCCCACTCGGCTATGACCGGCTGGAGAGCCTCCACGGCGGCGAAGCCAGCGCGTGGAGTCTCCAGCCGGAACGACCATCTGACCATGGTGGCTCGGCGAGCGGCTTCGCGCCACTCGCGCACGTCCTCGGGCGGAGGGCGAAATCCGCTCTCCGCCCGGAAGTCAGCCACTCGCCGATAAACTTCGGCGAGCACTTCCGCCTCCAAATCCCACGGGGGTGTTCCGGCCAAGGCGTTGGTTTTCCAAACTGAGTTAACCTAATGTTAAAAGTAATCAATACGTTGTAAGTGTTCTTAAAAGTTTTTTGGTATGCCTCGATAGATGGCATTTTCTCCCAGACTACTTTTGGGTGATGGGGAAATGTCTGACTAGGTGCACTAGATATTAAGTTTTTTCTAAAAAGAATATAAACTGAGAGATACAAACGCACTCTTGTGTTCATTCAATTTCTTTTTTATAACCCCCAAAAGCAGCAGCATCTCAAGATCATTGGTGCGTTGCCTATGTAGAGAAAAGAGAATACAATAAAGAGATGTTTTTGGTATTCTCTTCTTTTTCTCATACTATTTATGTATTTAGTAACATAAAAGTATATTTATTAGCTGGCTGGTCCAATAATATAGGCTCAGACTAGTTTGGGATCAGACAACTGCGTGTAAATTGTTATTATGACTACCATTTTTTTAAACCATGAGAACATTTTTGGGACAAAGTTATTTATTGCGCGTTACAAGTTCTGAGCAGATGGGAGCAAGACCGATAATTAACCAATAAATAACATATAATTAAACCATTACCATATTAATTTACCATTCTTTAAAATTTTGGTTACCATTTTGTCGTTTTTGAGAATAAATTCTTTAAGCCTGTATGTGGTTGTTGTCTTAAGATACAATGTTTGTAGAAGTCTATACTGTGACGTAAATTATATGGACGATGTATCTACACAATCTTATTAATTTAAATGTTCGCGAAAATCCTTTTAAAGCAGTATAATAAACTCTTATTACGCATTGTTTTATCTACATAACAATATTGATAGAATAATTTTCTGGTTAAGATGTAAAATACAATTAATATTTTGCTGAAATTAAGAAAAAGTAGAACGATTTCCACTTAATTGTTACCTGTTTGTTACGAATCCCAGTGTCTTGGACTAAACAAGTCAAAGAAAAACCCGAGGGGTTTACCAGTAACCACTGACAAGAGGTCCCTGATATTGTTTATTTCCTTTTTTATAAATTTAATTCAAGTATGTCGGGTGTTTTTAAATTTTTTATTTAATTTTTATTCTAAACTTTTTATTTAATTATTTTTTTATCATCTTTTTAATTATTTTATTATCTCACGATAACTCCTCTTTTTTAATTACAAGGATTGTAATCCTTTGTTGTAAAAGGAGAATGTGACTTTGGGTAAGAAATGGATAAGGTAAAGGAGGGTACAGGGAATAGGGTCTGATATTGCGGTAGATCGAAGAAGCTGTGGTCACGGCTGCAAATCGTTAAAAGATATTAAAGGGTCAATCGTTCTAGTACATACCTCTCCTAAACTTAAAAATATCACATTTGACCCCATGTTGTCGACACACAGCCGTATCTTATGTCAATCTTTTGCCGGAGCTATTTAGAACCTTTTTACGGATTTATGGAAAATTCAGGCGGAATTTTCCGTAACGACCCTCACTTATAAATAGAAGTAGATATTTTTTTAAGTGTTCCTTGAGAACTACTGTAAGACTAAGTCACTGAGTCACTTGACGATCATTTAAATTCTGTAGTAGGTACATCTAACAGAGACAGAAACTACAAATTTTAACAGGAATTATGTTCGCCTAAATTAAAAAAATCTGTGTGGTGACAGATTAAGAATATAGAGTGTCACCACCCCTATTCATCTCGT